GAGGGCTGGAGCTCAGCTCCGAGAAGACCCGAGAGCAGCTTCCCATACCTAAAATGAGCCTATAAGAAAGCTGGGGAAGGACTTTTTACAAGGACATGTAGTGATAGGACAAGGGGCAAGGGCTTTAAACTGGAAGAGGGAATACTTAGATTAGATATAACGAAGAAATTCTTCCCGGTGAGGGTGGTGAGACAGTGGCACAGGTTGCCCAGAAAAGCTGTGGCTGCCCCATCCCTGGAAGGGTTCAAGGCCAGGCTGGATGGGTCTGTGAGCAACCTGGTCTGGTGGGAGGTGTCCCTGCCCATGACAGGGGCGTTGGAACCGGATGGTCTTTAAGGTCCCTTCCGACGCAAACCGTTCTGTGATTCTATGAATAACCTGATAATCTTTACTTTAAAACACAGTATCACTACTTGCATAAGAACTGCCTGAATGGCCCAAGTAAGCAAATCCCAAACCCCCCTATTCTAAATGGAGCTAATACATTAAATAGGATTTCCATGTCCTATTCTAAGTAAATGATGGTGGAAAAGTGTCTTGGCCTCATCTCTACCAAAAAATGGAATCATAGAATGGTTTTGTTGGAAGGGATCTTAAAGATGTGCTTAAAAGCACTTTGCTCCTTCCTTATAGAAGGGGCATCCTTCACATGTTGGTTTAACTTTCTATCTTAACGCACATCACTCATGCTTTGTAAAAGGGATCTCAAGAAAGTTTACAAACATCCCTGTCAGATGGATAACCCAGGCTTACTTCCAATTCATTTTGGAGAAGTTTTATCAAAATTTGGAACTTAGCTTTGGTTCCAACTGCAGCAAGATAAGCAGTTATGTTACTTCAAAATTGAAGTTGATTATTTTTGGTTCTGCTCCTTAGAAAACTTCTGTAACCAACAACTGTGAGTCTATGTACAGGATGACACTGTTGATTCCCATATAACCTTGTTATCACACAAAGTCGTAATCACAGTGGGCAAGATTGTCATTGACAATCATCATCAGTTCTGTACAAGAACTATACACTGGAAATTGATACACCGGGATCGATATTGGGCCCAATGCTATTTAATATCTTCATAAGTGATCTGGATGATGGCATCAGGTGTACCCTGATGAAGTTTCCTGATGATACCAAACTAAGTGGGGAAGTGGACACTTCAGAAGGGAGAGCCACCCTGCAGGAAGATCTGGATAGGCTGGACGAGCGGGCTAACAAGAACTTTATGAAGTTCAACAAAGTCAAACGTAAGGTCTTGCATCTGGAAAAACATAACCCAGTAGTGCAGCATGGGCTGGGATCTCCCTGGCTGGGGAGTAGCTCTGTGGAAAGGGATCTGGGGGTCCTGGTGGACACCAAGCTCAATAGCAGTGAACAGTATGCTGCATTTTACAAGGAGTCACACGGAAAAGACAGGGGATAAAGGGTACAAGTTATTTTTGGGGAGATGCTGATTGGACACAAGAGGAAAGTGTTTCACAATGAGAACAATCAGCCATTGGAATAATCTTCCCAGGGAAGTGGGGGTTCCCCAACATTGGACACATTTAATATTCAGCTGGACAGGGTGCTGGGCCATCTTGTCCAGATAGTGCTTTTGCCATGAAAGGTTGGACCAGGTGACCCCTGAGGTCCCTTCCAACCTGGTATTCTATGATTCTCTAATGAAAAATCAGTGCAGTAAACTTGAACCGGACTCTGCTCAAAGAGAAGAACAGTACATAAATGGGAACACGAGGGTCAGTGCTCATGAAGCCCTGGGCTCTGGAAAAGCAGTATGCCTTGGGACTTTCCTTTACAGATAGAATTGCAGTAGCCCAGCATGAACATTAAAAATGCATTTATCTTTACAAACAGATTTACACTGGCTATAGGTGGGAAAAAAACGTCTGGGCCAGCTTTGGATAATAACAAAGCTCTCACCAATCTCAGCAGACGCGACAACGATTGGCTAGGATCTGTAAGTCTTTAAAGGTGAGAAGTGTCAATAAAATCATTTTCTGAGCATGTTTAAGGTTCATATTATGCTAGCAATTAAAAAAAAGAAGCAACTAAGGAAGACACTAAAGGTACTGAAAGAAGGATAGGATTCCATTCTTCAATAGGTGCATCTCCTGGTGTTTATTCCCCATTGTAAGGTGTGATGGGAGATCCCTATCAGCTCCTTAACTTCAGACTTCAGGGTTTGTTAAGGATAGGATTCCATTCTTCAATAGGTGCTGTTTATTCCCCATCGTAAGGTGTAATGGGAGATCCCTATCAATTCCTTAACTTCAGACTTCAAGGTTTGGTTTTTTTTTCTTACTATACAGAGAACTAATATTTTAGGAAAATAACGGCAGACACTATACAACTAACTCACTGGAAAGGAAGTAGGTTAACATTTACAGTGGTGAGACTGGGATTCAGATTTTTGTGGGTTTTTTTTCCCCAGCTCCCCAAAATCATGTGATCTTTAGCAAGAAACTGAACTAAACTTCTCACTGATCACAGGGACAGAACAGGAATTCTAAAGTCTTTCCCCTCCCCAAATTTTCACACAGTTCTCTTCCAGGTTTCCACAAGCAAGTTGCAGTTCCCAGCTCTGAAAGTTTGTGCTGGCATACCACAAGTCACGCCTCACAAACCTCCACGATGTAGAAATACAGCCTCAGGCTCTGAGAGACGAGCTAACCCTACAGGAGCAGAGCTAAATAACAAAAACCCCTACAAGAGCAAAAGATAAGAATAATCAAACAAAAGAGTCTAGGAGGCAAGCACGACAAGAAAAAACTAGAAACAAGCAGACCAAAAAAAGGATGAAAGCATTAATAAGGATGAGAAGAGAAGGAAAGATTCTCTACATTTGAAGAATACTGAAACAGTTTTTGAAAGGAAGGGGCGGGGGGGAAGATGTAGGTCATTTCTGTATTATTCATTTTATTTATTTGTTAAAACAAGAACAACCCCACTTATTAGTCGACTGAAACGATACAAGGATTAATTCCCCATCTGTGCAGCACTTCAAAGCCTCATACAAAACCACCAATGAAGCTGAGTACTTTGCTCAGTGTTTATCATAGTAACAGGTACACACAAAGATCATCACCAGATTATTCCTGTGCATAGACAGACCTCTAGTCAAAGTTACAAAGTTCCCACAAGGAAAAGTTTTGACCTTTTGGCTCCAACACAGCAAAAAAAAACTTCTGTAATATCTACACGTACCTGCCTGCCTACATTAAATAACGTAGAGGAGACCTCTACACAAACTGAACTGACTGCAAACTTCTCTTCTGTTCAAGGTATCAAGAACATGATCAAGATCAGAACAGGCACAGAAAACTAAGTGTATTTAATTGAAGCTGATGGGGGGGGGAGGAAGAGAAAAAGATGATTTGCCAAAAGAAAAATGCAGATATGGCCCAGTTCTGCCCCTGGACACACTGCTCACTCATTTCACAACATTGCACAAATCACTTCCTAACTTTTTGTTTCAGGACCTTCCATCAGCAGCCAACCACGAAGAGGGGATGATATGCCTACTACTACTCCTGTAAAATCAGCTGAAGAACTACAAATTAATTCTATGAGGAACGCATGTAACTTAAACACTCACCGCTGGAGCTTCCAGGAGTACTGAACTGGGAAGTTTCGAGGAACTTTCGAGGTGTAGGCAAGTTAGTAACATCCATAAGAGGTACAGGAGAGGCATCTTTCACAAGTGAACTGTGTGAGGGGAAAGAATTAAAGCAAACAGTTTACTACTATTTACAAGTTTAGTTCACAACAATAATCCATTTATTTCTTAAATTCGTAAGCCTAAGCAATACATACACATAACACACAGTTGTGATACAAGAGGTTTACAAAACCTAGCTTAAAGCACAAGTCCACAGAAGAATACGAGTGCGTCTCTATATATACACACATTTGAGTGAAAAGGGAAAAGGTCAAAAAAGCAATGATGAGGGAACACTGTCATATGAAACCCAAAATTTGGTATCCCAAGGCCTCTCTGAATTTAACAGCACTCTAGACTGGTCTGACTGGTCCCAGCAACACGATTAGGACACAGGTATATTGGAGCTTCCCAACACACACATTCACCTCCAGCACAATCAACTACTGCTAGCATGATGATAAATTAACATGGAATTTTTAAGATCTTTCTGGAAAACTACATATTGAGGAGAAGAGACACTCCCATTTCCATAGCTTCTGTCAACTACTTAATCCTTCAAGCTCTTCCAGTTCTCACTAGAAACCTACACCCTTTTTCGTCCCCTTCAAACTCCTGTGTGCAACTACATGCATCCCTCTCCAAATGAACCTTCTTACTCAGAAAGGAAAGACTTTCTACTTGGTCATTTTCGTAATGCCTGGGAGGAATACAGAGAAATTGTCTGAGCAGCTAGGGGACAGGTTAGGAAAGCTAAAGCCCTGATACAATTAAATCTGGACAGGGACATCACTGGCAACAAGAAAAGTTTTTACAGGCACATTGGTGATAAAAGGAAGACTAGGGAAAATGTGGGCCCTCTCTGGAAGGAAAAGGGAGACCTGGTTACCCGGGACATGGAGAAGGCTGAGGTCCTCAATGACTTTTTGCCTCAGTCTTCACCAGCAAGTGCTCTAGCCACACTGCCCAAGTTGCAGAAGGCAAAGGCAGGGGCTGGGAGAATGAAGAACCACTCACTGTAGGAGAAGATCAGGTTTGAGACCATCTAAGGAACCTGAAGGTGCACAAGTCCATGGGACCTGATGAGATGCATCTGCGGGTCCTCAGGGAACTGGTGGACGAAGTGGCTAAGCCACTATCCATCACATTTGAGAAGTTGTGACAGTTCACCGAAGTTCCCCCTGACTGGGAAAGAGGAAACAGAAGCCCCATTTTTAAAAAGGGAAAAGAGGAAGACCCGAGGAACTACAGACCACTCAGTCTCACCTCTGTGCCCATGAAGATCATGGAGCAGATCCTTCTGGAAACTATGCTAAGGCACACAGAAAATTAAGGAGGTCATTGGTGACAGCTAACATGGTTTCTCTAAGGGCCAATCGTGCCTGACAAATACGGTGGCCTTCTATGATGGGGTTACAGCACTGGTGGATAAGGGAAGAGCAACTGGTGTCGTCTGCCTGGATTTGTGCAAAGCATTTGATGCTGCCCAGCACGACATCCTTGTCTCTAACTTGGAGAGACATTGATTTGATGGATGGACCGCTCAGTGGGTAAGGAATTGGCTAGATGGTCACACTCAAAGAGTTGTGGTCAATGGCTTGATGTCCAAGTGGAGACCGGTGACAAGTGGCATCACAGGGGGCAGGGGGGTTGGAACTATACGAACTTTAATGTCCCTTCCAACCAAATCATTCTATGATTCTATGATGATAATAAATTCACATAGCTTTATTTGCCAAAAATGTGACATTCTGCCCCAGTTGCATAATGAAAGGCATGAAGTTGGATGTGGCAGGGGAACGCAAGCAAGAAATTATTTTTAAGATAAAGAAGTGGAGAAGGCTCCTATAATGGAGTTCAACAGGTTCCCTTAAAGGTCAAAATACTTATAGAAATCTGCAAAGACAAGGGCTAAGCTTACTATCCCACATAAGAACCACCTATACTCCCTATACGCCTACAGTACCATACTTACAGGGATTAGCTACACATTCCAGCTTAGCAATGTTAGATAGAACATATTTAAAACCAATATAAGAAATAATTATAAACATTATTGTATCCTGGTCAACAGCCAGTCTAGAGCAGCACACTAAAACAAAGCAACAAGACTGTCCTTGATGCAAGAGTTCATGTTATCAAATATCAATGATGTGCAACAGGGAATGTGAAAAAAGATAAAAAGCAAGGAAAAGATAAGGGTCCCTGTAGCAGTTGTACAAAACCGCAGTTAATTAGCAGTCGCATAGTCTGGGTGCACCAAAGCTTTGTCTCTGTTTTTAATTAACAAGATGAGTAAGGATGAGACTGATGACTTGCTAGCAAACCTCCTTCCTAGAAATTTCAACTTCAATCAATCCTTTATTTCATAAATTCATTTAATGTAACTTTTGGTAGGCATTTTTTATTCCTTCTCATAATAAAATGCTAATCTATCTTTTCTCTGCATCTTTATCATATACTGGCTCCCCTTTTGCTCCCAGCCCCTGATTATTACCTCTCCTACTCTACAAAAGTTATTTCCCAATACTGTGTCTCTCTTTTCTAGGCACTACCTTTCTTCCTTCCCTTGCAACAACTCTATTGCCCTCAAACTTAGAATTTACAAAATTAGGAAAAAATAGTCAGGCATCTATACTTAAGCTGAATTTCCACTGATAGAGGCACTGATCAGCTAAGAAGTTTCAACACGTTTAGAACACCTTAGAAACACAACACAGCCAAGACACTGCTCAGGCACTTCAATATCGCAGCCTCCGGTTAGTAATCTTATGGTTAGCTGGAAGTCTTTCAAACCTTGGATATTTCCTAGAAAAGATGAGCACTTTTTCCCTGTATTTTTCCCTTTGCCTGACCTGAACCTTATGACCATGACATTTGTAGGAAAGGTATATGCATCAGCGAAGGCAAAGAATGCTAACAGGAATTGACCTCATCGTAATTCTGTGGGAAGTAGCAAAAAATCAACAGAATCACTAAGCAAAAGTGAAAAGAACGAGAACAGACTGTTCACAGGCTCGAAGGTGCCTCAACATATTTGGAGTTTTTCTGCTCTCCACAGCCATAAGCATGAGAAATTTGCTTGCCAAAAATGAAAAGTTGAGGTGTAAGTTGATGGCACTCTCCCAAGAAAGTTTCTACTTATGAAAGGGAGAATGTTGTCCTTTTCCCTTCCAGACCCATCGCCCTCAGTCAGCATCACACCAAACCTACCTTATTCTCCCTTTCTCCTTGTTGCGTTGTCCTACTCGGTTAGTCGATTTGATGTAAAGATGACGGTGTAACTCATCTATCAGGACTAAGTGCATGTTCATCTTCTTACTGTGGAGCTCCAGTCTCAGATCACTCAATCCCTCCACCTGAAGAAGTGGACCCTCCAAGGAGTCCACTGCTGACACCTGGAAGAAGAACACATAGGACAACTTTTAAAGGTCAATTCATTCATCTCTCAGAATTTTTCTCTTTGATTACGGGAGTGTCTGAATACCATGATGATTCTATCCATAAACCTTTTTAAAGCAGGAAACGTTTAAGCAGTATTTCTTTATTTCTATTCCTAAAAGAAAATTCAATATATAAAAAGGGTCCAATATCCAAACAACTCAGATTTAATGAGAAGTCTTCAAATATTTTGAACATGTGTATAAAAAAGTTAGTTAAAACAGAGTTCATTAAATAAAAATCAAAGCACAGTTTATCACAAAATAAGAGGATTATCAAGTAGAAAAGCGTTAGGAAAAGATACTGACAATGGTGTTTGATTGTCTTCATTCTTTTCATTACAGAAACACCAACAAAACATTATTCGCCATTCTACAAACAGGGAGAAAGTGGTTTAAATTTTATCTGCCTAAAGTGATGTCATGACACAGCTGAAAAAGCTTAGGAGGCCTCATCTTCTAGCCTACATGGCTGCTATGTCATGCAACTGCACAATTTAAACATGCATAGCCATGAGATGAACGAAAGCTATTGCTAGTTCAAAGGTACTTTTGAACTCTGAAGAGTGTGGGGGTTATTTTAATGCTCAAATACTAAGGCTCAAATTAAGGAAAATAACTTTATATAAGCAACAGAGTAATAGACAGGGATCTAGACATGCAGTAATGTAAAGAGGCCACAGGTAACATTTCTCTGCTGACGCACTTCAATAGTGACCAGTTGACATCCAGTGGGCACTAGACTGAGGAACCTAATTTCCATTTATATCCTAAAAACAAACGTGGACAAAAGCCACCAGGAATGAGAAATCAGTGCATAAAAGCAACACTATCAATTTGCATCTCTCCCAGTTTACTTGTTTTTCTAACTATTTAACAGAGCACTTCCACAGTTGCTAAAAGAAAAAAAAAAATTATCCTTCTGCAGTTTCCAAAATCTCAGTGCTGATGTTGTAAGAAACTAGAAATAGCATGTTTTGCATACAAAGATTTAAAATTAAAAAATCATTCCCTAATAACTGAAGATACTATCAGTGAAATAAGACATTTGCTTGCACTTCAGGATTTAAGCTTATAGCAAACCTGTCAGCTAAACATTAAAATTGAAAAGCTAGGAGACAGCCAAGCTAAGGTCTGGTCCCTTAATACCAGTAAATATTAACTATACTGAATGAACATCTATCAACAACGTTATTACTTTGCTTGCCTCCAAGTCAAGAATGACCCTGAAATAGCTTTGGGGCAGTCAGGTTTCTTAAATTAAGAGCAGTTTCTAAGAGGAAGCTACACTTTTCCCTTTCTCCTGAAAAATTTCACCAAGAAGTTCCTAACTATGAAACTCTCTTTACATGGATGACGAGAGCGTGCACTTGCTGCCAGTCTTTAGGATAGAGTTCAGTCTTGAGAAAGAATTTGTGCCACAGTATTAATCACAGAGGACCACACATGCTCCTCCTAAGCCCACCAACATTGCAACTTCAACAGAATTTAGGGGTTTCCTATCACTTTACACAAAGCACTATCCATCCTCTTTCCTTCCCAGTATCTATTTGTGAACAGTTATGGAAGTTTGGCCATAACACATCACAAAACCACACCACAGATGAAGCAAAAAAACCCAAATTTGCTTCTCCTCAAAAAGCTGACATGTCAGAGTACATACAAATAGAGACAGCTCAGCAGGCATGCAGACACAGCTTGGAAACCTTTGGCAGAAGTGCAAGTGCTAATTTTTAACTTCTTCCTTTGGCAGGTATAGATGTACCCCAAATTTCCCAATTCCAAAGGCGCTTTAATCCCCCCAGTCACTTCAGGGGAGTTGCAGGCGCTCATCGCTGCCCTGAGAGCTGTCAGCAATTTCACCAAAGCAAGAACAAAATCAGGAACAACATTTGTCAAACTGAGAAGCTGAGAGATGAAAATGCAGTGAGGGAAGAAGTGAAAGCACGCAGGAAAATTACATTTAAAAGGTTCCAAGACATCCAGGAAAAGTATTACCTAAAACACAAGTAACAAAAATTTAAAGCTTCCCAGTTCCTAAACAGTTAGTTATTCTCAAAACTAATTATGAAGACCGACATACAGCTCTCAAGCACATCTTTTAAAAAACAAATGGAACAGACAATCTGTTATTGTACTAAAAAAAAACCAAAAAAAACCAAAAAAAAAACGACAAACAACAACAAAACCAAAACCCCACATTGTTTTGCACTGAACTGTCTTCTTCTGGAAAAAGCTGTTTTATTTTTTTTGGTGGGGTTTATCAGGTGGGGTTTTTTTGATGGCCATTCTGACATTTCATATTTGCAGTCAGACAAGCTAGAAGTTACATCCTTGATAAATGCCACTTTCCCAGTCATTGAACTCTACAGGTAAATAACACAGCCAAGTTTCAACGTTATGCACATTCCGAGCCTTTTAACTTAAGGCAGCCCCACTCCAGTAAAGCCTCACTTAACCACTGCTTTCTTTTCTAATATTTCATTTCCCATTACTATCAATTACCAAGACAAAGAGCAAGGAGAAAAGCTTTAATGTTAAGAACAGTTTGGGTCTGGAAAGCAGCTAAAGGCTCAATCCAGGTTCATGGAAGTCAAGGTAAGGGCCCCAGTTGGCTGAGGTGGCAACAAGTACAAACATTATACTTAAAAAACAAACAAACAAACAAACAAACATTTTTCCCTTCCATAGCTTTAGTTACAGAAAGATGATCTAAGTCCTGGCAACAGGCAAGCTATAAAGCAGCATTCCAGATAATATTTCAGAATACAAAACATGATATTAAAACATTTGTCTCATTTGTGTGCTGGATAACCTACCACAGAACAGGAGCATAAGTAACTAAAATGAAGCAAAAAGGTCTACAAAGAATGCACAAAATTAAAAATACACTACAGACAGATCTAACAATGGAACTGTTATGAGAAAAACCTTGACAAGCTTGTGTTTCACCCTACTATCCTGGGAAAAATCAGTTCTTAAAACTCATTTTCAGCACATAACCACACTGTCATCACAAAGGCTTTGTTCTCCGGAAGCAGGGAGATTAAAAGTTACAGAGATGGATGGAAAAGAAAGGGAAGCAGAAAGTGAATAGGAAGAGCAGTAATAACGACAACAGCTCTGTTGACTACTTGGAAACACAAGCAGAAGTAGTTTACAGTTTGCTTTATTTAAAGTCCAAGTACCCGTCTGGGCCATGTGAACAAGATGGTCAACTATCTTGAGAAACAGTAAGGATACAAAGGGACTCGGAAAAATCACCATGGTGGGTCAGCTGAGAGCACAGCCAATGCCACGTACAGCCAAGAAAAATCAAGTGAGCATTGAGAGCAAGACTAGAAAGAAAGAAGACTTTTTAAATTGAATTCATAACAGGGACTATGTCTATCATTGGCAAAGTTTAAATCAAGACCCAAATTTTATGTCCTCACTCAGCTAGTAACACACCATCACTTGTATTATGCAAGAGACCTAAACATACGATAAAAATACTTTCAGCTTTGAAGATCATAGAGATTTATTTACTGTTGTACCATCGACTCATCACTCAACTTGGGCATACCAACTTCAACTAGTCATTCTTAACCTTTTCTCATTTCCAATCCTGATATGCAAAAGGAGTTAGATGAGTGGGAGACAGGCTGCACAAAGCCGTAACAGGTCAGAGTACCACAGAAATACTGTTCTGTAAAAAAGTACTGCTGTTCCTCAAGTTAGCAGTGACTCCTCCAATTAGAGGACCTTAATTTAGGAGAAAAACCTGTATTTTTGGATTTCTGTTTTTATTGTGGATGCTGCTCCTCTGCTTTCAGTATAAAGAACTAAGCAAGAAAAAGGTGCATTCTAGAAAGAAACCTAAGTGTTGGGGGTTGAATGTATTTACATTGCCAGCATCATTCCTAAACATAAAAAACTTTTCACATTTTAAAATAAGGCAACTGTCTCTCTCCCTCTTGAATACTAAGTTTTGTGGTTTTTTTTTAAAAAAGGGATTCTGTATTTAAATGGTATCTATTATTTTTCACTCATTTATTAAAGAGTTATCTGGAGTCCTCAGACAGACAGAAGCCCTTCACTTCTAATTATCTGCATCATTCATTAGGATTTTAATTTTATTACTTTGAACAATTAAGAATAGAAAAACCTTACAAGCTACAACAATTCCACATTGGTTTTAATATTTTCAGTACATGATAGCAAGTTTTGGATTTTTTCAGTTCACTAGCAGTGAACATTCACTTCAAAAGAATGAGTGCTGGGAAATTAAACAACTCTACATTTAGAGGAGTATAAACCATCCTGTTGCCTATTGCTAGAATGACACAGCTTCTCTGGTTGCTATCTCCCACCACATTCATCTCTACTTTACAGAGCTTCTTGTTCATTAAAATTAAAAGGTATTTGAGCCATCTTACATGTAGCACCTATCATTAAGGAGAGCGGTGAGGTTAAAGGTTATCCACACCTACCAAAAGGTGATCTCAAATGCACAACTGCACAATCCCCATATAGTAGGATGAGAAAGAATTGTAGTAGCTCAGAAGCATGCTGTGGTCACCCTCATGTGTAACGGCAGGAAGCATGGACTTCAACATTTTCTGTTCGAGCAAGTCAAAGAATCCTGGAAGTCAGGAATCAGCTTTCGTATCATTGCTAGAATAATAGATCCAGGTTGGAAGGGATCTCTGGAGGTTTCCAGTCCAACCCCCTGCTCAAAGCAGGGCAAACCTCAACATTAGATCAGGCTGCTCAGGGTCTCCAGCCAAGGTTTGAAAATCTGCAAGCACGGAGACCCACAGTCTCTCTGGTCTCTTGTTCCTGCTGCTTAACCCCTCTCATGGGGAAGAATCTTCTCCTTATGTCCAGTCACTTTCTCCAACAGAAATTGGTGATGGTTGCCTCTCATTTGTGCACTTCTGAGAGGAGCCTGGCTCCATTTTTCCTCCAATCCTTTT